AGAAAATAGGAATATAAGAATAGGCCTATAGCAATATATCGGGAAGAGAGAGAGAGAGAGAGAAAGAGACAGAAAGAGAGAAAGAGAGAGAGCGAGCGAGAGACAGACAGGCAAACACACAGCATGGCTGCCATCGATCGCTCGTTAACACCTCGTTAATTGATGATTGCAGGTAACAGCGGTCCACGGCTGATGCGAGCGAGCGTCTACAGCGTGCCATGCACCGCTGACATGTGCAAGCAGTCACAAGTCCCCATCGTTCTCAACGTCTGCCCCTTCGCACGCCAACACCCGCAAGAGGTTAGCACCGGTCTAAGCGTAACCACGGTAACCCGTAGAGATGGTCACCGCAGAGAGCGAATTTTCGCCGTCGAGCGGAAGCTGGGTGGATGTTGCCGTGACAACCGGCGCTGGGGGGAGGGGGGTCGATGATGAACGGAGGCGCTCGATCGATTTCGATTTTTACGATTTGGTTACGCGATTGGTGTGTTTAAACGTTAGATATTGGCTGGTTTTTTTTAGCATAGGTAATAGTATCTGTAGTTTTACCATAGTTAATAGCAGCTGTAAGGTCTAATAGTATCTAGAGCATCTAATAGTATCTGTAGCATCTATTATTATAAATCGATTAGTATAATATCTATCGATTATTATTATTATTTATATTATCAATCGATTCACATTCATGGAACATACACCAAAGTGAAACCGCAAAAATCATAACAACCGGTTTCCACGCAGCGATGCGAAACGGCGCGCGCGTTGCCGTCGCAACCAGAGGGCGCCGTTGGAGGCGACTGACGACGCGCGCTCTTGTGTTTGCAGAAGGCCGTTCCCGTGGTGAACATGGGAGAGCTTGGACCGGTGCGCTGCATCCGCTGCAAGGCTTACATGAGTCCCTTCATGACCTTCATCGACGGAGGACGGAGGTTCCTCTGCAGCTTCTGCAACGGCCACACGGACGGTGAGCGTGAGAGCGAGGGAGAAGGTCGTCGGATGGGAGGGGAGGAGGAGGGTGGAGGGAGAAGGGGAGGAGAAGGGTAGAGGGAGGTAGAGAGGACGGAGGTTCCTCTGCAGCTTCTGCAACGGCCACACGGACGGTGAGCGTGAGAGCGAGGGAGAAGGTCGTCGGATGGGAGGGCAGGAGGAGGGTGGAGGGAGAAGGGGAGGAGAAGTGTAGAGGGAGGGAGGAAGAGAGGACGGAGGTTCCTCTGCAGCTTCTGCAACGGCCATACGGACGGTGAGCGTGAGAGCGAGGGAGAAGGTTGTCGGATGGGAGGGGAAGAGGAGGGTGGAGGGAGAAGGGGAGGAGAAGTGTAGAGGGAGGGAGGAAGAGAGGACGGAGGTTCCTCTGCAGCTTCTGCAACGGCCACACGGACGGTGAGCGTGAGAGCGAGGGAGAAGGTCGTCGGATGGGAGGGGAAGAGGAGGGTGGAGGGAGAAGGGGAGGAGAAGTGTAGAGGGAGGGAGGAAGAGAGGACGGAGGTTCCTCTGCAGCTTCTGCAACGGCCACACGGACGGTGAGCGTGAGAGCGAGGGAGAAGGTTGTCGGATGGGAGGGGAAGAGGAGGGTGGAGGGAGAAGGGGAGGAGAAGTGTAGAGGGAGGGAGGAAGAGAGGACGGAGGTTCCTCTGCAGCTTCTGCAACGGCCAGATGAACGGTGAGCGAGAGAGGGATGGGAGGGGAGGAGGCGGGTGGAGGGGAGGGGGAGAGGGTGGAGATTCCTCTGCAGCTTCTCTCAGGAGGAGGATGGGGTAAGAGGGAAGAGAGGGTGAGTGGAACAGGAGAGAAGAGCGGCCAGAGGGGGAGAATGAACGGTGGAAGAGGGTGAGAGGGGGATAGTGGGAAGTGAGGAGCGCAGAGAACGAAAGATCTTTCACAATTTTTCTCACGACTTTCGACTTCAGTAGTTCAATTTCCGACGTTGTAGACCCGCGACATTGTCACAACTGTTGCCACGGTTTCCACGATTTCCCTCATCATCGTCCTTCTCTTCGCAGTTCCCCAGGAGTACTTCCAGCACCTTGACCACACGGGTCAGCGTCTGGACAAGTGGGAGAGGCCAGAGTTGCACCTGGGCACCTACGAGTTTGTCGCCACGAAGGACTACTGCAAGGTAGGTGCGCGCTGCTGCTGCTGATGCTGATGATGCTGATGATGCTGATGATGATGATGATGCTGATGATGATGATGCTGATGATGATGATGCTGCTGCTGATGTGCGATCTAGCAAAAATGGAGAGAGTGAGAGTGAGAGTGAGTGTGCATGAGAAGAGAGAGAGAGAGAGAGAGAGAGAGAGAGAGAGAGAGAGAGAGAGAGAGATGTAGTTAGAGGGAGGGAAACTAAACAAGAAAGCACACCATAACCATATTTGTAATACAGAGAGAAACAGACAATTTTATGGAGAGATAGGCATAAACACAATCATAACTATATTTGACCTACGTGCCATGCATGCGTGTGTGCATTCGATCGTGTATATTTGTGTATGTATATATTTATTTGTATATTTGGGTCTTCTTCTTCGGTGCAGAATGGCAAGTTTCCGAACAGTCCCGCGTACATCTTCATGATCGACGTGTCTTATAACAGCATCAAGAGTGGCATGGTGCACACCCTCTGTTCCAATGTGAAGAAGCTGCTACACTCGCTGCCAAAGTAGGTGGAGCCGCCGCCCCCGGTCCTCCTCCCCCTCGCGTGCAACATCCACGCCCCCTAGTGGGCATTGCAGGGTTCGGCCGCCGATTTAAAAGAATAAATTTATTTTTTAATTGTTATTTTACTATATGTATATTACAATTATTATTTATTAAAAACAATTTGTTAAAGCGTGTGACAAAGGTACGCTGATTCATTCTATAAATGAGATGGCGCTTAATTTCCGCGCCATCGACGGCCATTCCCGCGTCTGCCTTCAAGGCCACGGGTTGACCTGTCGCTCACATACGTGCCGTTGCTGACGGATGCTCTTGTGTTGCAGAGAGTACGGCGCGGAGACGTCGGCGATTCGCGTCGGATTCGTGACCTACAACAACGTGCTGCACTTCTACAACCTGAAGGTAACCACGGCGACGAGAGGCTGGTGCACGACGACGACAATGATGATGATGACGATGACGACGATCTTAACTAATTAGTTACTATGTGGTGTCATTGTTTATGATAAGGTTTACAAAAGTGCGAGACAAACTTTACTCGCTTTCTATGGGAACTTGACTTTTAGGCTGTGAGCAAAATTTTGGAATCAATTTCGATGTACTTGTGTTAATAATCGCAGTAAAACTGCATGTGAAATATATATATATATATATATATATTTATATACATTTATACATATCATGTGAAATATATATATATATATATATATATATATGTACGTGTGTACGTCGTCGTGTGTGTAGGCAGGCCTGGCGCAGCCGCAGATGATGGTGGTAGCTGACGTACAGGACGTGTTCCTACCCCTCCTTGATGGCTTCCTCGTAACGATGTCGCAAGATTCTGAGGATCTCATAGATAGGTGAGTGAACGCACGCCTGGCAACGTTGCACGCGACAACGTTGAACCCGACAACGTTGCACGCGACAACGTTGAACGCGACAACGTTGCACCCGACAACGTTGAACCCGACAACGTTGCACGCGACAACGTTGAACCCGACAACATTGCACACGACAACGTTGAACCCGACAACGTTGAACCCGACAACGTTGAACCCGACAACGTTGAACGCGAAAACGTTGCACGCGACAACGTTGAACCCGACAACGTTGCACGCGACAACGTGGAACCCGACAACGTTGCACGCGACAACGTTGAACGCGACAACGTTGCACGCGACAACGTTGAACGCGACAACGTTGAACGCGACAACGTTGAACGCGACAACGTTGCACGCGACAACGTTGAACGCGACAACGTTGAACCCGACAACATTGCACGCGACAACGTTAAATGTGGCAACGTTGAACCCGACAACGTTGCACGCGGCAACGTTGAACTCGACAACATCACCTAAGGCAACCTAGCACGCGACACCGCTGCTAGATGCAATATCGGTTGTTGCAATATCGCTACCTGCAACATCGCTACCTGCAATATCGCTCCTGCAACGTTGCCCACGTTATCGTCGAGCAGCGCCCTCTGGTGTCGACGGCATCGCTGACCGTGCGCGTGTTCTCTTGTTGCAGCTTGTTGGAGCAAATCGAGGTGATGTTCGCTGACACACGGGAGACGGAGACCGTGCTGGGACCGGTGATACAGGCCGGACTAGAGGCGCTGAAGGTGAGAGGGAGGAGGGAGGGAGAGGAAGGTGAGAGGGAGGAGGTAGAGAAAGGAAAGTGCGGAAGTAGAACGAGCAACAAAGAAGCGGGCGGGTCATTCAGGGCGGCAGACACCATTCTGCAGAAATAACGTGCATCAGATCATCGCGGCAACACAGTGTTTGTCGCCGTGGTAACGCTGTGTCGCCGTGGTAACGTNAGAGAGAGAGAGTGTGTGTGTGTATGCGAGAAAGAGAGAGAGAGAGAGAAGCAAGCGCGAGACAGCAAACTCGACACATGGCAGCGCGGGCCTCCCTCTAACCCTTCTCTCTCCGGCAGACGATACTTGCCTCCCAGTTGCCGTTCTACAAGAACCTGGGCAAGGAGTGCGTCGAGGCGGGATGCTGCGTCGACCTGTTCCTGTTTCCGAACGCCTACATAGATGTCGCCACCATCGGCGAGATTTGCAACGTGACAGGAGGACAGATCTACAAGTATAACTACTTCCAGGTACGGTGGAGACACTTCACGCGTGTGTGTGTGTGTGTGTGTGTGCGTGCGTGCGTGCGTGCGTGCGTGCGTGTGCGCATGTTCAGAATCTTTTATGATTTATGATGTCGTAGAAACTTCGTTTTATATATATAAATATTATATAGGATCAAGAGAGATGGCAAGAGGGAGAGAGACAGAGAGACATAGAACTAGAGAGAGAGAGAGAGAGAGACAGAGAGACATAGAACGAGAGAGAGAGAGAGAGAGAGAGAGGGAGAGAGACAGAGAGACATAGAATGAGAGAGAGCGAGAGAGAGAGAGGGAGAGAGACAGAGAGACATAGAACGAGAGAGAGCGAGAGAGAGAGAGGGAGAGAGACAGAGAGACATAGAATGAGAGAGAGCGAGAGAGAGAGAGGGAGAGAGACAGAGAGACA